TACATTGATAAAGCTTGTTTGTGCTTAGTTTACATAGTTAACTAGAATTAAAATGCGCATTCCCTTAAATTTAGCAATTCCACTTTAACAAAACCTATTCTGTCATGCGTGTGAATGGAGAACATTTGGCCTTATGGCTAGATACAAGATCCAAACACAAAGATCAATAATTTCTGTGAATATCAGCAATAATCAACTAGAAAAATCATGGAAAATTAGATCTCATTCACAAAAGCCACCAAAACTCTAAGTTAATGAGAGAGGGAAAAAGTATGCAAAACTTACACAAAGAAAATTACTTATAAAAACTTTTCTGAAAGATGAGAATAAGATGTCTGAGAAAGGTTAAGGATGCTAATAGCAGAACTGTTTGACAAAAAAATGTTGAAAAAAAAAAAAGTCCACCAGCGTAGGAATGGCTACATTAATTTTTCCTCCATAGTATGGCATACTCCTCAGCTGTCAAAAAGAATGACATGTTTCCGTGTGGCCCTACTTATTCAACAGAGATATTTCCTAGACATATTAAGCAAAAAATGTAGTTATGGAAGAATATTTCTTGACACTAAATAGTATTAATAATATTCAATAGCATGGATCATTATTGAACTGATGCCCTGCTTGTCAGAGTTTGTTTTCAGAGCTTGGAGCCACCATGGGACAGAAAGTCCCCAGAGATGACCTTAGATGAATTCCCAAAAAGATGAGAGAACGGGCCAAGAGGAGATGGGATGGCTCAGAGCCAACCCCACCCAAAGTCAATGATGCTGGCCGGTCCCTAATGCTTTCCTTGTCTGCTGCTTATAAGTGGGGATTCATCCTCGAGCAAGGAATACTAGACTGGATCTTTGTCACCTCAGCCCCTTGGAAGAACTGGCCTCCCACCAGCCCAGCTCAGCACCTTGAAGAGGTCTGGCCTCACCTGCTGCTGGGGGCCTGGCCAGGACACTCAGCCAGGTAGGTCAGGCTGCTCCAAACTTCCAAGTGGCTCTCATCTCACACCTGGGATGACTGGAGGCAGCAGAGCAGCGATTAAAACCTGTGGTTATAGGGGTCGTCAGCCAGCTTGCAACCCCAGCATGGCCACTTACAGTTATGAGACCTGAGGCAAACTGCTTAACCTCTCTTTGCCTTGGCTTTTCTATCTGAAATAGGGACAGTCACATAGTACCTGCCTTGGAGAATGGTTGGGAGGGTTACATGTATGAAAAGTGCTCGGATCGGTGCCTGGCTCAGAAAGTGATGTTTAATGCCAGTTCTCACCCTGCTGATGTGGGACAAAGTTTCTCAAGACTAGGCCGGCACTGGGAGCTCAGTGCTGTTGACATTTTAGGGCCAGACTATTTCTTTGCTATGGGGGAGGGGTTGTCGAATGCACTGTAAGATGTTTAGCAGCATCTTTGGGCTCTGCCACTAGATGTCAGGAGCATTTTCCCCAGCCATGACAACTGAAAATGTCTCCAGACATTGCCACGTTTCCCCTTGGGGGACACAACCATCATCGATTGAGAAGCACTGCTCTAAGTGAGCTCTCCGTAAGCAGAGGCCACGAGACTGCAGGGTGGGAATTCTATGCAAGACACTCAGGCTTGGCGAAGAGGTAGCTCCGAAACTCTCATCCTATACTGGTACTTCTGTATCACTGACTAGCCAGGCTCATTTCTCCCACGGGTGAAGGCTCAGGACTGGGGCTCTTCGCTCCTCTTCACTGCTTAGATAATGATGTTTGTGGTCATCTAACTTACGTCCAAGTAAAGGTCATGCCACACAGTTCTGAGAAACACACATTCATCCATTTGGAGGAATAATAAAGACGAACTGCTGTTTCATGTACCAGGCATTGTTTTAAGAGTTTCATTTAATCCCTATGACAATTCCTTGGTAGGGGAGGGTCATTGTTATTCCTGTGTGTTACAGATAAAGAAACCAAAGCACAGAGAGGTTGAAAGACTTGCCTAAGGTCACACAGCCAGCAGTTGTTGAGACTGGGGTTTGAACCTAAGCAGCCTCCCTCCGAGCCTGTGCTGCCAACCATGACACAACTGGCCCCTTGGTTGTGAGTACTGGTGCTGGTGACTTTCAAACTTATTTTTTCACAGAAGGATCCTGTCATCCAATGAATGCTGAGCCAATAATCCAGTGACAATTTAATAGATAAACATGGGACTGGCTCCAGCTGAAGGAAAGGGTTTGGGTCACCACCCGACAAGCTCCCTGTGCCTTCATGGCCCCTGTGGCCTCCATGAAGCAGTTTGAAAATGCCTTTGCAAACCTATCAGTTTGCAGATGAGAAAGCTGGAACAGAAGTCAGAATAATAACTGACTTACAGGACTAAGAATAATAACTGCAAGGGCCAATAGTTATTATTCATATGGTGCATATCAGGTACCGTACTACACACGTCAGTATGTCACCTCACTTCCTTTCTGAGTGATGCATGCATAAATGCCTTATTTATTTTTTTAAGTGAATTTTGAGAAACATATGAGCGAAATGAAAAAATATGTCTAGAGAAGGTAAGACGAGTTGGCCCAGGTGTAAAGAGCTTGACGTGTGGGTGTAGCACAAAATCTGCAAGCTGTATTCTATAGGGACACCGGACTGCTCAATAATGGTAAGATGTTGCCATGTTTTTCATCATGGCAACATCTTGATGCAAGTTGTTAGAACTTACTCTTTTTTGGAACTTACAATGCACATTTTATCTCTTCCCTGAGCATCATATCTGAAAAGCTATGGGTCTGATGTTCTCTCTCCAGACTTATACTGAAATAAATCGCAGCTAGACAGTAAGTGGTGTTCACCTGTTTACCCCTTAAAACCATCTCACACAGGTACCTGCATGGTGCTGGACTGTTTCTTCTCTGAGGATCTTGTGCGGGAGGAGAAGGGGAGAAATATCATTAGCTGTGGGTCGTGTTGCTTTTTTTCCTTTTTGTTCGAGGTAGGAAGCCTCCACATCCCAATGGGCTAGGAGATTCTGGTAATGAGAGAGAGGGAGAAGGCTGAGGATGGAGGGAAGCTGTGTCATTTCCTAAGCCTGCTGCAACAAATCATAAACGTAGTCTTCAAACACGCACGTGTTATCCTACGGTTTTAGAAATCACAAGACAGAAAGGGACCTCATGGAGCTGAAACAAAGGTGTTGGCAGGGCTGCGTCCTTTTCTGGAAGGCCCAAGGAAGAATTCGTGTCTTTGACTTTCCCAGCCTTGAGAGGCCCCCATATTCCTTGGCTTCTGGCCCCACATCACTCTGATCATCTCTGCCTCTGTCATCCCATCTTCCCTGACTCTCTTGCCATCCTTTCCCATATTTTAAGGGCCCCGTGATTACACTGGTCTCATCCAGTATTTAGTGTCCTGGGGGCTGCCAGACCAAGTACTACAAACTGAGCAGCTTAAAACCACAGACATGTATTCTCTCATAGCTCTGGAGGCCAGAAGTCCAAGATCAAGGTGTCAACTGGGCCATGTTCCGACACCTGCAGGGGAAGCCTTTGTTGCCTGTCCCTTGCTTCTGGTGGTGTATCACCAATATGTGGTGTTCCTTGGCTTGCAGATCATCACTTCAATCTCTACCTTCATATTCACATGGCCTCTCCCATGTGTCAGTGTCTTCACATGACTGTCTTCTTATAAGGACATCAGTTATATTGCATTAGGCGTCACCCTGCTGCAGCATGACCTCCTCTTAACTGTTCACATCTCTAGTGAGGTCACATCCTGAGGAATGTATCTCTTTTTTAGTAGGGGAAGAACACAGTTCAACCTATAACACAAATAACCTCCCCATATCAAAATCCTTAATCACATTTGCAAAGTCCCTTTTACCATATGAGGTCACATATTCACAGGTTTCAGAGATTGGGACATAGATCTCTTTGGAGGGACATTATTCTGCCTACCAGGGTGAGGTCGTTTATGTACCATAGACCACCAAGACTCAGTTAGAAGCATCAGGCCAGTGCCCAGCCACCAGAAATGGAAGTGAAAATGGTGGGGAGTGTGAGAAAAAAAAAGGCAGTAATGTTTTCCATTAAGAAGTTTAAAAATATGTTTTCGTTCTTACTTTATGACACAATCTCAGCAGCCAAGGGACTATAATGTAAAGAAAGATAAGGAACACACCTTATAAATAACCCGATCATAGTAATGGCCAACCTTTAATGAGTGTATGTTCCTTTCACTACCTCATGTGACTCTCCCAGCACTGCATTCTCCTATTCTACAGAGGAAGAAACTGAGGCTCAGGGAGATTAAGGTATTTGTGCAAGGTCACACAGAATCCGAAGCCTGGCCGTTTGGTTGGAAAAACATTTTCAGACACTATGTCCTTTCTGTGTACTATCTGTTTTCTAAGATAGATGCCGGGAAATGAAGAGGTGAGTAAGAAATGGTCCCTGATCTAGAGTGGGGTGGGGGGCTCAGTGTCTACTGGAGGAAATGATTGTTGGAACTTTGGGGTATATACTATAATTAAGATGCTATGGAGTTATGTAGCAGTATGTATGGTAAGATCAAAAGTCTTAAACTGGTGGCCACGTTTGTGATACAATGTTTTAAATCTAAATTAACTGCTAAAATATAAAAGTCAGAAGGTTCACTTTTTTAAAAAAAACCCTGGAATTCGGCTTCTCTTGAAAAATATCAGAGAATCTGGCAATGCTTGGTTCACCAACGGCAGTTGGCAAGAGCTTAGAACAGCTGCCTCATTTGGACTGAATGTCCACTTCTCTACAGCACCCACTGTTCCCTTCCATCGTACACACAGCCAAGTTCACTAACTGTATGTACCTGTCTGGCCTCTGTAGGTGTTCAACTTTGAGACCTTGAGGGAAGACACGTGATATTTGTATTTAATGAAGCAGCATTTGAGCCTCCTTCCAGACTCCGCTCGCCAGCTTCTTTACCAGTTCTCCCTAGGTCTTTGCAGCTGTCACACCCCTCTCCTCGTGCATGGCTCCTTGAGCACGCTCAGGAGCTTTTCCAAAGACAGAGCATGGCCAATCTCTCCATGGCATCTGTCTTCCTCCTCCAGGGCTTCTCGGCTGATCCTAAGATACAGCTGTTCAGCACTGCTGCCTTCCTTCTCATTTACCTCGCTGCCATTCTGGGGAATGTCTCCATTGTGGCCGCCGTGACCCTTGACACCCGCTTGCACATGCCCATGTACTTTCTCCTCAAACACCTGTCCGTAGTGGACATCTGCTCCATATCTACCACCCTTCCCCGGGCCCTGGTGGCCACCATGCTGGGCTCCGGGGAGATTTCCCTCCCTGCATGCGCATCCCAGCTCTTTGCCTTTATCTGCCTTGGATCTACAGAGTGTTTTCTCATCACCTCCATGGCTTACGATCGTTGTCTGGCCATCTACAGGCCCTTGATGTACAGGGCAGCCATGAGCCCCCGGACCTGCATCTCCCTGTTGGCGGTAGCCTGGATCAGTGGGCTCCTTTTCTCCGCCTTCCACACAGCCAACACCTTCTCTCTGCCTTTCTGTGGCTCCAATGTGATTGAACACTTCTTCTGTGACATCCCCGCACTCTTGCACCTGGCCTGTACCAGCATGGATGCCCATGAGGCTGTTGGATTTGTGGTTAGTGGCTGCGTCATCATGAGCTGCTTTGTCCTCACTGTCCTGTCCTATGTCCGCATCTTGGCCACAGTGGCTCGGATCCGCTCTGTGGCCGGCCGCTGGAAGGCCCTCTCTACATGCTCTTCTCACTTGGCCACTGTGCTCCTGTTTTATGGCACTGGCAGCTCCGCCTACATGCAGCCCACCAGGCACTACTTCCCATTGAGAGGGCGCCTGGCTGCTGTCTCTTACTCTATCCTCACACCCACCCTGAATCCACTCATCTACAGCCTGAGGAACAAGGACATGAAGGGAGCCCTGAAGAAGCTCTATCTTCACATGCCATCTTCTAAGGTCTCCTTGTCCATGTTGGGGGAGATGGCTCACTAGCATTTCATTATCCATCCAACTACAGGAGATGGAGGAAGTAGAGGGCAAGCAGTGTGCTTTTGAGATGTGATCCAAAAGTTGTGTGCAAGCAGTGTGCTTTTGAGATGTGATCCAAAAGTTGTTCTCTACACTACTGCTGACATCCCATTGGCTACTGCTTAGTTACATGGCCATGCTGACCTGAGAAGGAAGCTGGGAGATGTTGTTCCCAGCTAGGTTGCCATATGCCCAGATAAAACTTCAGAGACGACATTATTTACTCGTTTTTAATCACTCTTCCATGTCTGATCTCTTGATGAGCCACCATCTATCTTTTTATTCCTTCCTATCATAATGCTTCCTACTCTTCCTTTCTTCTCAAGCCACCTGTACTAGTTTTCAGTGATCACTGAAGAGGGTGAGGCAGACACACCCTAAGGTGATCACCAGTGTATCATATCCTTGTATAATCCCTGCCCCTTGAGTGTGAAAAGAACCTGTGATTTATTTTAACCAACAGAATATGGCAAAGGTGATGGGATATCACTCTCATAATTACCTGAGATCTACTCTCTGAGACAGAAAACATTCTGGCACTTTTTGTATCCCCCAGATCCCTGAGTGCCTGGTTCCCTATCACCCTTTAGATCTCAGCTCCAATGTCACCTCCTCAGAGGGACCCACCTGGGTTCTCCCATCCAAAGCAGTTCCCTTCCAGGTCACTCTCATCCCCTCATCCTTTTCTATTATCTCCATTGCATTTATCATCCTTCTGAAATTACCTAAATTATTCCGTTTCTTTGCTCTCCCTGAATTCCTCCCCACCTTCAAATATAATCTCCATGAGGGCAGAGCTGTTTCCTTCAATGCTGTATCCCCTGGGTGTAGTGTAGTGTTTGGCACACACTATGTGAATTTTTTTCTGAACAAACAAATGTGAAGAACAACAAAAAACAAAAGCCACAGTTGCTCTAGTATTGGAGTCGGAGAGACTGAGATCACTGAACACCTCCTGGTTTCTTACCCTCATTCCACAGCCATTTCTGTATTGCCCATGTGGGCTCTTTGGGCTCCACAAACCCAGTTCAGATACCCTTTTCCTAATCAGATTAATAAATGCTATTAAATCTGAAGCACCATTGATTGGAAGACACATTATTTATGTTTCACTAAGAAAGAAAAAGACACTGCCAATCAAAATATGACCCCTCATCAATAAAATCCTGATTTCCCATGTAAAAATGTGTTGCTCAGCCTTCAGATCACAGCTCAACTATCACTTCCTGATCATTCTGCTGGCCAACCTAAGCCACTTTTCCCTCCATTTCTCTCAGTAGTCTCATTTCCCCAAAATATGTACTGCTATTTTAATTAATTGTATAATTAGTTGTTTAAGCCTATCTTTCACACAAGAATGAAAGCTGAATAAAGGAAGAGGTTACATCTGCCTATTTCTCATTATCTAATGCTGTGCCGGTAAACCAGCTCTCTGGAAAAAATGGTAGCATTTGCCAATTTCCATTCACCACAGCTGATGTCAAGCTATGGACTGATAGCTTAACAACTGTTTTGCAACATTCTTGAATATTCAACAATTAGCTCTGTGAGCTGGGACAAGCATGTTGACCCAGGACCAAAAACACTGTCCGCACATAATAACAGCTCAATAAATAATTGGCCAGTGAATGAATATATTTTTGTTGACTCTCATGTGAATGTATAGCAAGCATTTCAAACTTAACACATGTACATACAGCTCATTTCTTCTCTATACCTGTGCTGTCCCCAGATTTCACCCCACTGAGTGGCACTGCCATCCATCGGTTGCTCAGGGCCAAAACCTAGCAGGTGTGTTGACTTCTCTGTCTCCCTCACCTCTCCCCATTACCCTCCACATCCAGGGTATCTTTGAGGCTCATCAGTTCCACCCTCAATGTGTATTTCAAATCCATCCACTCTCACCATCCCCACAGCCACCATCATCTCTGGCCTGGACCATTGCAACAGTCTTCTTCCTGGTCACCCTACCTTCACGATTACCCTTCCCAACCTCCCCTCCACTCAGAGCCATGCCGTTATATTAAATACAAATCAGGTCACATCATCCCCCTGTTGCAGACCTCTAATGCCTATTCACTGCCTTGAGTTCTCCATGGCAGAACCCCATCCAACTCTGCAGTCTCCTGCACTCTCCCCTGAATCTTTTATTCCCAGTCATGCTGGCATTACTGCAGTTCTTCAAACACACCAATCTTCTCCCGACCTCAGGGCCTTTGCACTCACTTTCCTCCAATATGTATCGTTCTCCAAATCGGGGCATAAATGCTGCTTCCTATTCAAGCTTTGCTTCCTTGTCAGAGTGCTGGGCCCCATGCTTGGAATTTGACTGGTTAGGTCTGGGCTGGAGCCTCAGAATCTGCATTTCTAACACATTCCCAGGTGTATCCATTTCCTGTTGTTGCTTTAACAAAATATCACAAACTGAGTGTCTTAAATAACAGAAATTTCGTTTTTCACAATCCTGGAGGCCAGGATTCTAAAATCAATATCCCTGGGCTGAAATCAAAGTGTCAGCAAGGTCATACTCCCTCTGGAGGCTCCAGGGATCTTTCCCTGCCTCTTTACCTCTGGTAGCTGCTGGAACTCCTTGGTTTGTGGCCGAACTATTCCAGTTTTCAAATCTCATTCTCCTGTGTGTGTGCACACACGTGTGTGTCAATTCTCCCTCTACCTCTTCTTGTAAGGTTACTGTGAGGACATTAGGGCCCAAACAGATAACCAGGATGGTCTCTCATCTCAAGATCCTTGACTTACTCACATCTGAAAAGGCCCTTTTTCCAAATAAAGTAAAGTTGACAGTTTCCCAGGGTTAGGAGCCCTGGGACAGCACGAGGCACTGCCTGGGCTGAGTAACCACACACTGGGCTTACATTCGGTCTGACACCGTTGGTTCTAGCTGTGTGCTCTTGAGCAAGTTACTCCCTCTCCCACCTGCTCACCCTGTCCCCACCCATCTGGGGCAAGGCTCAAAAACCATGTTAAATGCCCCACCCAGAGGGGTTCAGATGCCTCAGAATGGTTCCCTGGGACCAGATGCAGACCACAGGTGCTTTGTAAAAATGAATTGTCCATGTTAAAAGGCTTCCCATAAAAGCTGGGCATTCCAGATCCTCTCACCAAATCAAAGGACCTGGTAACAGGAGTTCCTTTGGTTAAGATTACTCCTGTGCTCTTCACCACATCTGTCCTCCCCACCTGGCTCCCTTAGGGGCAGGAGTTTGCATTCTTTCTTCTTTATTCCGAACCTGTCTTTTTACTTAAAAGGCGGAAGTGGGCCAAGAACCATGGCAATGGGTCCAGTACTTCCTCTTGCAAGGTCCCACCTGGAGGAGATCTGCTTATCAGATGGCCTGGGCACAAGCCTTGGACACAGAGTTTCCCATCTGGAACTGTCAATGGCAGGAAAGATTCCAGGCTGAGGCCCAAGTCAGGGCATGGCTGATGCCTTGAGCTGGTATTCACACACATAGATGTGTGTGTGTGTGTGTGTGTGTGTGTGTGTGTGTGTGCGCGCGAGCGTGTGCGTATGTCCATGCACATACCCACTCACGCTGCTAGGCTTCTCTGTGTTTTTATGGAGAGAGGGTCCCAGTTTTCATCAACATTTCAAGAGCATCTCTGGTCCCCAACTGCTTCTGGAAGCCTGGGATTGGGCTGGCTTGAATGCAATCAGTGGGACAATGAAGTGACCCCATTCCTGGGATGCTGCCTTTTTGTGAGAAATATAACAATGAAAACCTACACAAGAAAACCCACAACTGCAATAATATGTAATAACTAAGGAAAACTTGAGACCTTAGAAGAAAACTACAAAACTTTACTGACTGAATTAAAAAAGCTTGATTGCATGAAAGGACAATATTGTATTCCCGGATGCAAAGATGAAGGGTAACAATGTTGATTCTCCCTAATTCATTTATAAATTCACCTTAGTAATCATCAAAAGGCTGTTGTTAATTGATAAATTTTCTGGAATAAACAAATATTCTGAAGGAATAACAGAAAATTCCATATACATACACATGCATATACTTTTTTTAAGGCACAATGATAGAAAAACTCATTAAATATAAGGCATTGAAATTCAAATATAGATCTAGGATAAAACAGGACAAAAAGCCAATGAAAAAATGTAGATGGTCCAGATATAGATCATACGCTGTAAAATAATATGACTGAATCATTTACTAACTGATGCTGGGGCAACTAACAACGGGGGTGTAACTTTGATCCTCTTCACACAATACCCCAAAGTAAAATCAAGAATGTTTAAAAAGCATATTAAAAACATAAAATAACAAAAAACTACAGAATAAAACGCTGTAATGTTTAGAGAAAGTTAGATTTTGTAGGCTTGGAATAGAAAACAGAGGACTGAGCTATATAAAAACTGAAACTTTATAAAAGAAAATGCCAAACAAACAAACAAAAATATTTATGGACAAAATGAAGATAAAGAATATCTTTATTACACAAAGACATTGTTCAAATTGCTAGGAAGAAGAAATATAATTGCTTAAAGCTTAGAAGAAAATGTTCAACTTCTTTAACAATCAAGTACATGCAATTAATTAGATGCCTTTCCCTATTCAATTAATAAAGGTGAAAAATGCTCCAAACACACAATGCCAGAGAAGATATGTGGAACGTGCACTGCCACATGTTCCCAGCAACGGTGCAAACTGGTGTAACGATTTCAAAGGGGCTTAGAGGTACATATTGAGAACCTTAAAAAAATTACACCCCTCCTGACCCAGAAATTCCCCTTTGGCTAAATTTACCTTAAGGAAAAAATCCTAAGTTTGGAAAAATATTAAAGCACCAAAATGTTCATTACAGTATCAATTATAATTGAGAAAAATCAGAACTAAATTAAACACTCAACCAGAGAGAGCCATACATACAAAGTTCTGGGTATACTGTGCAGCTATTATTAAGGAGGTGATAATGACAGCCAAGGG